AGAATTATTTATAGATAGTAGTTCCTGTAATACACGAATTACATATGTGAATAAAATAATAAAATATGCTAGGCAAGGCCCAGCTGGTTGAACTTAAAAAAATATATATATATATATTAAATTTAATATAAACTTGAAAATTAAGAATTAAATTGAATCTTTAGAATTCTTAAGTGTATTATATTTATTAATAAGTTTGTTAATTATTTTGAAAATTTTTTGTATATAGTTTGTTTTTTAATATATAATTTATAGATTTTAACAAGTTTTGTAATAATAATAATATAATTTATTTAAAAATATTTTTGTTTTTTGTTTTTTCTTCCTTTTTTGATATTATTTAATAAGAAGTATATAGACTTTTAGAATCATATCTCTAATATAATTTCATTGCTTATTAATTGCTTCTTCTGTATATATTTCAAAGATTGTTATATAACTTGTTAGTTATATAAGAATATATTTATCAGAGTTATTATTGATATAATATAATTTGTTTTTAATTATATCTATTGTTAGGATTTGTCAATTATGATAATTATATGCCTTAATTTAAAAAGAGTATTTATAGAAGTCATTGAAAAAAAATGATTTAATATTATTAACTAAAAAAGTTTTGGTTACTTTTTTGAAAGAATTAAAAAAGACAATAGCAATAATACTGTTGTTTTCTATATCATATTTAAAAGAGATATGATATTTGAACTGTATTAAGCCAATTGAAAAGTATTTATTTTTTTTTTGATGTTTTTTTTTGAAACAGTTTCTAATTTAATAATTCTTTTAAAATAATTAATATTTATATATTTAATTTATTAATTAATAATTAAATCAAAAAATTTGTATTATAGTTTTTGTAATTATTAAAAAGTTTATAGTTGCTATACATTGAGCTCTTATTTATTTATAAAAAACCAGTTGTTAATTTCTATATCTAAGCCTTGAAAGCCAGTAGAAGAAGAGTTGGAAAAAAATTATTTGTTTTTATACTGTATATAAAAGCTTTAATATTCTTTATATTTGTAAAAATTATATTAATAATTATTTATATAAGCAATTGATTTGCAATTACATTTTCTATATTTTGTTTATTAAATAATTTGTTTTTTTCCTTTTTTATACTTAAAAGATAATTTGGGTTAGTTGTTGTATTTGGTTTTGTTTTGTTTTTAATCTGGAAATCATTTTGCAAAATTGATATAGTAATAAAAATTTTTAATGATTCTATTGATTGTAAGAAAGAATTTATATATATATATATATATTATTTATTTATATTTATATTTTATTTTATTTTATGTTTATTAAATACATATATTTTTAGAAATTAAATTCAATATATTATATATATATAGTATATAGTATATTATTTATATATATTAAGTTAATATATATAAAATAATATCTTTTAATTTTTTTAAAAAAACTGTTTCTTACTTTTTTTTAAATGCCTAAATAATTTTTTATTAGGAAACTTTTGAATTATTTATTTTTTCTTGTTTATTTTTTCTTCCTTTAATTTTTTTTATTTTATAAACTTTTTTTTTAACTTATTTCTCTTTCTCTTTTCTTTTTTTCTTTCCCTATCAAAGTTAGTTTTTTTTTTTGAAGGTTTTTTTTTTTAAATTTTTTTTTATTTTGAAATATTGTTTTATGTTATCACTTTTTTAACCAGTAAATTTTCTTTCTTTCAAAATCATTAAGAAGCAATAATTTCTTTTAAAATATAAATTTTGAAAAATTTTTCTCTTTTATAATTTTCAAAAAAAGAATAAACAGTTTATATTTCTAAAAGATTGATATACTGTAATTATCATTATCAAATCTGATATTTTTTACTTGCTAATAGCAAAAATTGAATATATTTAAAAATTCATTATGTAATTATTATTACTTGAATTTCTAAGGAGTTATATTTTATAATATTAAAAAAAAATAGCAATTAATATTAATATAGTAACATTAATATTAAGTTGTCATATATACTATGCTAATAATTAAAGAAGCTAATAAAGAAATATGTAGTGATCAGGAATTCTAGTTATTTTTACAAATAAAGTTAATAATAACAATACAAATTTTTTATTTATTTCTTAACAATATAGATCTATTGTATAAGATTAGATAACAATATTTATAAGAAACTTCAATTTTAATATGTTCAAATATTCTTTTTAACAAATTATTACTTTATGTTCAAATATTTTTTTTTATTCTTTTTTTGCTTTACATTTGAATTGAATTTTACTCAAATATTTAAATAATATATTTTTGTATATGAAGTTTTCTATAAAAAGCAGTTGTTTTTTTCTTTACTTGTTATAGATATAGATAATTTGTTATAGGTATAAACTACTTATAACCTGTCACAATCTTAAAAAAGTAAAGCAAATTAAATATTAGATAAGCAAATGAAAAGCCAATCTTCACTAATAATATTTTAGTTAAAATTATAGTTATTTAGATATTTAAATAAGTTGTTTAACTGAAGTTTAAGACAAAGTATTATTCTTTATCTATTATATATCAAGTTATATTTGAAAATCAAATGTGCCAATTCTAATAATAACTTGAAAATAAATTTATATATAGTGATTATAGTATCTTTATATATTTAAGTAATTATTATTTTTAGATATTTAAATATTATTTAAGGTATAATATAGGTTTTAATTTTTTTTTTTTATATTCTTGGATAGTGTTAAGAAATATAAGAGATAAATTATAATTATAAGTCTTGTATTTAATTTTTTTTTTTAACAAAAAGAAATATATGTTATGCTATTGATATTATAATTTTGTAATTAATAAATCTAAATTATACTAATAAAATAAAATATAATAGTTATTTTTAATTTTAATAAGGTTTTAACTTTTATTAATATTTAAACATTTGTAAAAATTATAATTAAAAATTTAAACTATTATTTTTTTTTATAAAAACTATATAAGAAAATAAAATTAAAAAAAAAAACAAAAGAAAAATTAAAAGAAAATAAGTAAATATACAAAAAAAAGAAAAATAAATAAATAAATAAAAAGTTGTTATTTTTTTATTATTATAAAGAAGATTTAATTTTTTTAAAAAAAATATATAAAAATAAATATAAAAATAAAAAATAAATAAATAAAAATAAATAAATTTTGTCTTTTTTATTTATTCCTACTATTTATTTTTTTACTTTTAAATCACTTTTATTATAAAAATTATTATATTATATAAGAAAAACATATGAAATTAATATGGTTTATTTATATTCTTATTACTTGTAAATTTAATTATTCAAAACTTTGATCAATTATTAATTAAAGATATAATTAAGGCAAATCAAATTTTTTAAAAATATTTGCAGATTTATTACTATGTTAAAAAATTTATTACCAAAATTTAGTATATAGCTAATAAAAAAAAATTATATATTTAAGCAAATAATAATTAACTATTGCATTCATTTATTCCAATACAGGAATTTATAATAAAATCAAAGTTTTTATAAACTTATGAAATATGTTTATTAATTGCTCAAAAAAAAAAAAAAAAAAAAATCCAATTAAGAATAATATCCTTTAATGTCATTAGTATACAGTATAAATTTATTTACTGTAGGTGCGCAAAGAAATCGTTGATTGACATTAGTACCTAATCCCTATATATTAAAATCAATCAAGTTTTCCATGCAAGCAATTTATTACATCGTGAACTGTCGGTTTGGCTCGGTTTATCAAATTTGAAACTCAAACCGACAAATTTATGTGTATGTACGGTAATTAAAAATTTCTTGTGAAGAAACAGCAGTTCAAAAGATTATTTGAGCAATAAATAGATATCTTTACAAAAAGATATTTTAACCTGATTTCTTTGTGATCATGTAAATAACATACGTACATTGTAATGGTAGTACTGTACTGTGGATAAGGCAAAAAGGAAAAGGTGACAGATAGAGTGCTTATTTAACACCATCGCCCGATCATCCCAAAAACTCGATCAAAACAAAAAAACAAAAATCGATATGTTTGGTAAAGTCCAAATGCATAATTAAATACGTAGGTGAAAACATAATTTACTCTTTCGCAAGGAATCTTTATTGTTTACTGATTGAGAAGAAAACCAGTTTTTTTTACAATACTAAGCCATTATAAGTCTTTTGATAAATATGGAGAGAACGCCATGACTCACATTTTTGAGTCGTCTAAGCGATGGCAAAGTCATTAATTGGCAAGATAACGTTGATTTCTACTGTAATTCAAGCTGTGGTGATTACGGTTCTCGAGAGTCTTGTTGTCTACTATCATCTCACCTTTGTGTCACACTACACTTTGGATAATGTTGGCCAAGGGATATCGGAATCGGACGTGATTTATCATCTCATGTGAATATGTTGCCGTATGCTGTTTTGAAATTTGAACGATCGATAAGTCAGTCCTAACGAATTCTGCCTTTGATATAGATTTCTCATATCACTTATATTTCAAATATTATTGTGTGTAGATGCATTGGCAAATCGTAATTCAATTCAACTAATAGCGTTGGTGATATTCAATCTGCTCACACTGTCATATGCTGGAGTACAACTTTACCAGCACAGGATTCTTGAGGATCAAGGAACCGAAAATTCACCTTACATCCCTTCAACCGATTTCCCTACGTCGGATTCAGCAAAAAATTACTTTGAGTCAAAGATGAGACCTCTGGAGTATGTCATCATCGGAATCGTTTCGTTTTTCTCAATATATTTGTCAGCATTGGTTTATAAATTGTAGGTTTTATTTGATTTTTCTATTTTCGGTCAATTCATTTTTCTCTAACACATACATTTGCTTAATAACAGATATATAGAATTTGGGTGGGAAAACTACTTAGCGTACTCAGCTGACATCAAGGTCCGAGACGCATTGATATCCCTCTCAATCTTACAAACTCTCATTAAAATGGACATGTTTGCCGTGGGCTCTTACGCCATCCAGTTGATTCCCTCTCAGAAAATGGGATATTCTAAATCGATCTATGAAACCGTTCTTATATTCTTTATTGGCACCATCTTGATGTTAATGGCTTGGTTTTCCGTCACGAGAGAAATGAAATATCTTCTTTTGTCCGTGATTAATATTTCATGTCTGTCACTCATCTACCTGGTTTACAGATTGATAAAAGTTAATGTATCCTATTCGAATAATGCTTGGGATCCATATAGATTTACTCGTCGTTTCTTGACATTCTTTTTGGCAACCACGCTTGTACTGATGATTGCAACGATATTCTATGGGATCATTTGTTTTAGAAATATGGTGAAAGGTATTTACGTGCTCACAGTGTATGGTGCTAAAACTGTGACCTCGGATGGTGGGAGGAGAGCTACCTTGATCTTGCAGAACCAGTCGCGGCCCGAAAAAGAAGAAATCGATTAAATTTTGAAGTGCATAAAATTACGGTGTATCATGTATTATTTATTTATTAGAACTCGATATATTTATTATGAATTGACAATGTAAATATCACATCTTTTGTCCCTTGAAATTGAATCCAATATGAATAAATAAAGTTAGTCTTTACTATACATATCGTATCCCATATAGGTTCAAGTCCCAAAGTCAGGCCAAAGCCTGACCCTTTGTCAAATATTTGAGTAAGATA